GTGGCACAAAAACCGATGGTTACTTGACGCACCCAGCTAGTATACCCTATGGGTAGGGTTGGCTACCCTAATAAGAAAGAAGTCATCTACAACATCCCATACGAAGCTTGTGATACCGTATATTAGGGCCAAACAGGAAGATCCGTCTCCAACCACACCAAAGAGCGCCAATCAGCCGTGAAGACATGTGACCATCTGTCCGAAGTGACTTGACTTGACGCAGGGCACACCTTTGCATGAGAAAAAACACGCATCGTCGGAGTTCGGCCCTTCAAAAAGGCCGAGAATTTCTTGAGGCCATGCACTCCGATGTTTCATGCAGCAACCGACATCGAGTTAGATGGAGTGTGCAAACATCTCACAGAAAGATGAAAGAGACTACAGCCGACCATTACGAACCACCGTGAACCGCAATTAGTGCCCATAGGAGATGACCCCGGACCGACGCAGATTACAGTTGCAAATTAGCACCACGAGGTGACGCAAATTGCAGCTGCCAACTAGCGCCCACATTAGACGAATATACAACTGTATCCAGAACTTTTGGAATGTTAATTGTTCGTTGCAAGTCGGAAGACGACCTGGGGATCCAATGTCGAGGATTTACTGTATAAAGTTCCCTCATTTTCCTAGGGAACGCCTTTCCTTGAAAATACTTATATTTGTGGTGGTTTTTAGTCTAGACGTGCGCTCTACTAGAAGCTAACCCGTAGCCAGACGATGATTAGTTGTTATAACCAGCTAGATTCTTTTGGCCGTAAAACCTTAACTGTGACGGTAATTCTACGTGCTACCTCGCGGCCTTAGCTCGGCAGGTCGATGCGGGCGGCTGGATAGTGTCCACTTAAGCCTAACTCTTGCCATCTTCTCCCCGTCATCGGTCTTCATGACAACCGCGATTGTCTGTTGGTTATAATAGTGCTCAGGCCGCAGAATTTTCAGGCCGGATGAGCTGAGCCTGATATTCTTCTACTACCATCTCAACCATTGCATAGTGCATCAACTGCCACAGT